AAGACAGACCTGCACATCAAAGTGATTCCCTGTAATATCCAAATGAATGAATTAAAAATAATTTTCTGTTTATTTAATGAAGGAAAAAACAGTTCTCTGTATTGGGCTATAAACATGGTATTTAATAATATAAAGGTCAGCATTTTTAACATGGGAGCCTGTGGGGGCTTTTTGAGCCACTCTCAAGTGAAACTAATGTGACAGTTGTTGACCTTCAAAGATGAGCAAGTGGGCCGCAACTACTGAAAATAGACAAATAAAAGCGGACACTAAATAGATGTGGGTCTTTCTCTCTCTGCGTCTGTGGCTGCAATATCCACTCGTCATCTCTCAGCACCTCCTAAAATGGTGAGCTGCTTCTCACAGTGGGAGGGTTTGCTGAGGCTGAACCGTCAAACGTGAAAGCTTAGCACCCCCGTGTGGATTTAACATGTGTGCATGTGTGTGCAGATAAAGTACCATGAAGAATTTGAGAAGAGCAAGATTCGAAGTGACGCGCCTCCTCCGGAAAATAGGCAAGGTGAGACAGATCCTTACACAGGGACTTTATAACAATTTTCCCTTTAAATGTGTGTATGAACTGTGTGTGTGTGTTTAGACTACGAGGACCAGCCATCCAACCCTGTCAGTGACTTCGGTCAGTCTGCTGGACAAATGCGTACTGCTGCTGTAGCGCCACACAGTGGAGGGGTAAGAACAATACATAAGCAAACGTATGCCCAAAAGTATGTGGACACATACATTACACCTGTGTGAAATCAGAAAGGGTTTTATTGCCAAATGTTGAGCAGGTTTACAACATTAGGAAATTGCTGCGGTACTTAGTGCAAACATACTGTCATATAACGCTTATATAGACATAAAAAAATAAAAATAAGAATTAAAAGTGCTAAGTAGATAGATAGCATGCTCTCTTTTAAGATGGGCCTCATTCTGTGGGTGCATCAATCATCTGGAGAGATTCCTCCAGAGGTTGACTCTGCAGGGATTCACGATGAATGTTGATTGATAAGGCCTGGCTTCCAGTTCAACCAAATCTATTTTATACCAGACTAGAAAACCAGGTTTTTATGGACGTGACTGTGTAGACTGGGTAATATGTTTACCAAAAAACCCACAAGAAGAAACACAAGCTGTTGCACAAAATTATATTTTCTATACACGTCATTTCAAGTGTGCTCCCACATTTTAATAGTAAAGAAAGGTGTCTACACACTTTGGCTCATACAGCATACCCTGTATTTGTGTGAAATGTTTTTCAAGCTTTTTTTATTTTCTCTTGTCTCCTGCAGCAATAACGCAGATCCCGGGTACTATCAATTCATAAAACACAGCTGTAGTTTTTAATCTTTCACCATAGGTGTGAATGCTCACAGTTTTAGACTTTAGATTTAATTAACTAGAAACACAGCGAGCTCTAGTGAATTAATAGTAAAACTTCTTGCCATGTGCACATTTGCTTCTGTTTATTTTTCCTGTAGGGAAATTCAATTCAAATGTATCCTGGTAGACTGTGTGCTCTTTATGTTCTTATCTGCTATATCAGTGTGTCTGCATGTCTGACTGGTTCTGTTCATTCATCTCTTCTCTGTGTGTGTTTCCACTCATTCAGAAGCGCTACCAGGCCATGTACAGCTACATGGCAGCTGAAGCGGATGAGCTTTCTCTGCAGGAAGGTGATCTGATCTTAGATGTGGAGCCGATAGACGAGGGATGGGTGTTCGGCTTTAACCAGCGCACTGGGCAGC